ATATATATATATATATATATATATATATATATATGTATATATGTCTCAATACTCGATGGAGGTTTAAGTACATAAAGAAAAATTATAGTTTTATGGATAAAACGAAAGTTCTAAACTTGGCGTGATAATGGAAACATCATGTGCACATACAATTGACGTTGTTCAAAATTTTACATTTATTAAGGACGTTGGAGGTACATATAAAGGACGTTCAGTTCCAGATGTAACTAGAATGTGATACGTAGATGCAACTAGTGTCCTTTAGATTTTCTCATGTTACGAGAGAAAGCATCATATGTAAATGTAACTAGTTTTATTTAGTTTCTTACTAAAGAGCCTAATGATAGTTGCTTATTAAAATTTATATCCCCTTTTTCTGAATATACTTGAATATCATATTAGGATTTCCCTTTTCACAATCGGGAGTGTGTTGATCTTTAATTCTTTGGAATTCAACATAATAGAACTGGTTGAGTTTTGTCTGGGGTATAAAGTTTGAGTGTATCCTTCTCCATTCACTTATTATTTTTCAAGTTGGATTTTTCAAAATTGCAACAAATAATTTAAGTGCTTGTTATTATTTTAATTAATGATTTAAATTAATAATTGTTATTAAATGCAATTAACACACATTTGACATTGTTTTCATCACACTTATTAATCTTTTCCACCATCAATAAGTGAGTTTTGAGTTTTACTCAATTTCATAACCAACTTATAAGGTGATGTGTGCATCCATTTATATAGTGTAAATTGTTCTTGTTTCTAGTCGACGTGAGACTTCTAACACACCATCTTTACATCGAAATATATATATATTTTGTGTATGGGATTGGACATTAGTTGATGATATGATACAACAAATGGAATAATAAATTTAATAAACAACAAATTTCGTTAGAATAAATTCTATTTCATGATTTTGATATTATGTTAAGAAATTAACTTCATGTCTAAATCAATATTATAAAACCAACTTGTAACATAAAATTTATATTCACATATATACTATGAAATTATTTTATTTGTAATAGACATGAGATTTCCAAGACCCACTTTATCAAATTCTTCGTAGATGATTAAAATTCATATTATTTTACATTGAAATTAAAATTTGACACAATTAAATTCCAAAATAATTAGTTCAATTTTTGTGAAGAAGAGTTCATCACAACTATGTGTTGGACTTCTCTTGTATGATTCAATATTTTATTTTTGCACTTAAGATATATTTTTCCTGGATGATTTCACACATTTAAACAAATTATAAATTGTCTTATTTGTTCACAACTTCATATGTTTAGCAGTCTTCTTGATTAAAATTATGCTCATTAACTTCTTTTAACATAATTTTGTAATGAAAGTTGCGTTTTGTTTGCACAACTTCTTTGTTGTGCTTAAGTTAAAATCTATACTTTCATTATGAAGTCATTATCACTAAACATGATTTACCTATAACTCATAATTTTTTTCAAATCTAACAAGTTTAATAATTTCAAGTTACATAAAGTGTTTAAAAAACTAATATATTTTTATCCTCTTTATGTATAATAGTTATAGCAAATAGTTAACGAGTATTTCAAAGAAGTAAAATATTCTATTCAATTTATTTTATTTTAAAATTATAAAATGTAAACAAATTAAAATATATGTAAAATAATACGTGTACCGTTTAAAAGTCCGAAATTTCGTTTTATAAAATAAAATTACACTTCTAAAATTTCTACCCTGTATACTTCATGTAAAAAAGAAACCATATATATATATATAAACGTAAAAATATGTTATTAATTAACCGCTATATCAAGACAAGGACGAAGATTATTTTTTTATTTTCTCTTTTAATCCTTAGAAAATACAAAAAATTGTAAAAAGAAAAACAATTAAGGTTTATTTTTTTATTTTCTCTTTTAATCCTTAGAAAATACAAAAATTATAAAAAGAAAAACAATTAAGGTTTTGGTCTACGACTGCAGGGTGAAACGGTGAACTGCGTCAAAATTGACTGCCAGTAATCCATTTTCTATGTGGGTAAAACAAAAGTAAACAAAACAAATCCACCGTGGCCAGCACGGATATGGATCCTCCACAGTTTAAAATATCTGTAATAAGTTGCATTTCAATCTCTCACCATACATTTTATTTTCTTATTAATATTAATTCAGCTAGAAGTAAAATAAACGGTTGCGATGCACGCAGTTCAAAATCGAATTGCAGAAGATTCTGGTTCAAAGAAAAGTATGTTTTTCTCTCATTTAGTCTGTGACTATGCTACGGACTTTTTTACTTTGCTTCTTCTTCTTCTCTCTCTTTCAGTTACGATAGAGCTTCGAGATTGGCGACGTACGCTAAATGGCGAAATCGAGCGCCGATGACGGCGACCTCCGGCGAGCTTGCGAAGCCGCAATTGAGGATACCAAGCAGAAGATCGTGATGGCGCTTCGGGTCGCCAAGGGTCACGGCATCTTAGGAAAATCGTCCAAGCTCGGTCGCCAAATGGCCAAGCCTAGGGTTCTCGCTCTCTCCAGTTACCTTCCTCTAATCCCCTCTCTACAATTCTCGATTCCACTGTTTCCTATGCTCGCTACTTTCATTTTGCTTGCTCGAGATTCCACCAATGTTTTAGCTTTCAAGGAATTAAATTAACTACTCTGATGTGAATATTGATTTTTTATTTATTTTATAACTGCACTTTGAAGCTTCCACACATCGCATTAGGTTTAGCTATGGTTTATGCAGTAGTGCTTGATTAACTTCTTGTGCCTTTTGTAATATGTAGCTTGTTGGGTCTTAAGGCGGGAGTATTTGTGTGTGGTTTCTTCAGCGTGTGTTGTGTTTTAATTGTTTGTTGAACTCTGCATTTTTGTAGTTGTTGGTGATGACGTGGTATTTGCTGCAGCAAAATCGAAGGGTCAGAGGACATCGGCTTTTCTTCGCGTATTGAAGTATTCTACGGGAGGAGTTCTTGAAGTAATTTGTTTTTCTTTTTCTTATTTTCATATGCTTGGATTTTAGCTGATGATGCAGCAATTATTATATAATAAATTCCAGACAACCATGGTCAAGTCAGTTTCAACATAAAACACAGTCGAGGTTTATTAACTCTTTCTCATTACCTGAGAAGCTTGGCCATGGATCCAATTTGAGATTGACCAAGACCAAGGTCGTCTGGTGATTCTGGACTGTCTAATAGTTTCTTTGATCGAGAAAAGATATGATTCCCCCTTCTCCACAAATTGAATTCAGAGTAGCTAGAGATTCCTCATTAGATGTTGTTTCTTGTCACGTGTTCTCTTTTTGGGTGGCATTTCTTCACCATCCCGTCTAGCATTTTCAACTTTGTAAAACTGTTGTGCTTGCAGCCTGCAAAGCTATACAAGCTGAAGCATCTGTCAAAAGTGGAAGTTGTAGCAAATGATCCCAGTGGATGTACATTTACTCTGGTAAAGTTCTATAATGGATGGGATCTTTATGTTCTATGTTCTCAGTTTCAGGAACAGAGGCTATGAGAAGCATACCATTCCCTGTTTTGGAGTTTAGTTTTGGTCTTTTTCCCCACTATATGCTTGTTAGGCTGATTCTTGTGTATCTTGCAGGGATTTGATAACCTTAGAAGCCAGAGTGTGGCTCCTCCTCAATGGACCATGCGCAATATTGATGACAGGTTATATTTGAAAATCTATGCATAGACAGTTAGTTAGTGGTTGAGTTCTGTGTGAGGGGATGAAAATTTTCTCATAATGCCCATCACTTATCTTGTAGGAATCGCCTTCTTCTTTGCATCTTGAACATATGCAAAGATGTTTTGGGTCGCCTTCCGAAGGTTGTCGGTATAGATGTTGTGGAGATGGCTCTTTGGGCTAAGGTGCAATATAATCTCTTAACTTTGGTGCTTCTTTATAATCAAGTAGCCCTCATTCTGTTTTACCGAGCTGAATTCTTTTCACCTCTATTCCTTGATAATTAATTTTTATTTGCTACTCTGTATGGAATGTGACATATCAAGTCTATGACTTCAAGCTGGGGATGTTAATATGTTTGGAAGTTGGGTAGAGGGAGGGAAGGGGAAGAGTTAAATCTCCTTCATGAAGTAAAAAGGGAGGGGAATTTCCTTTCCATTTAAAGTTAAGCGCAGAGAAGAAGAAACTTACTAGTCCTTATTTAATTTGAATGAATAATTTTCACTGTTTGCTTGCCAAGTTGAGGGGTATGGGTCCCCAAGCGGAATACATCCCATTCCTCCCCCTCCTTTAAAATCTCCCAGACAAGGATTAAAGTTTAATTTTCCTTTTCCTTTTCTATCCTTCTTCCCTCTTAACTTCCCATCCAAGCATAGTGTTGGACTGTCTCTGCGAAATTCTTGTTACATTATTCAGTTAATTATTGAATGTAAGCTTCCTGGTCTAATTATTTATTTTCATAAACTGTGGAATAGGAAAATACACCCTCTGTCCCTGCTCAGAATAAAGTACGAGATGGTGGTCCTGTTGCATCATCTGTTGTGAGGGAGACAGAATTATAAGTTAATGTTGAAAAGGAACTTGTCTCCCAGGCAGAGGAAGAGGACATGGAAGCTCTTTTGGGAACGTAGGTTCTATTCTTCTTTGTTTTATTGAGGATAGGTATTCATGATAAGAATTTTCTTGAAATATTGGCCTGCGGTTTTGGTAATTGTGGAACCAGGTTTTTTAAATCCTAGGGTTACACTTGAGTCTCTGTGTCTTCCCTTACAAAACTGCTGGCCACATTTTATGATTCATATTGATATAGGGAATTCATAATTATTAAATAGTGTTATACATAATGATTGTAACATATTTGTCAAATTTAAGATGACACAGTTAGATTTGTAAATAATTCAGTTTGACTAAATCATGTATTAGGACTTATTTCACAGTGCTAGTTTCATTCAATAAATGGTTGAGTTTCTTTTTATATTTTTATTTGTGCAGTTATGTGATGGGTATAGGTGAAGCAGAAGAATTTTCTGAAAGGTTGAAGAGGGAGCTCCAGGCTCTCGAAGCAGCAAATGTGCATTCTCTTTTAGAAAGTGAACCTTTGATGGATGAGGTATTACTGTTCTTAGTTATAACCTTTCAATGGAAGTTTTGGTTACCCTAGTCTAACTTATTTGCAGCCTTTTTGGGTTGCCTTAGTTGCAGCCTTGAGGAGGTGCGAGTCCTACATCAATTAGAGATATGATTTATAGAGATTATAAAGCTTGGGCAATCATTTCCTTAGAAATTAATTTTGTGGGGTTGATTTAGGTTTAATGCCCGGTTGAGCCACTTGCATTGTCATACTTTGTCCGCCCATAGCCCTAGGTATGCAGGGGTGTGTTGAAAAGCCACATTGTTGCGGTTGGTTACATGTGGCCCACATTAATTGCAGGCTCTTTGTGTTGCCTATTTGCAACCTTGAAGTGAGTGCTTAATCCCAAATCAACTAGACTTGTAACTTGAATAGAGTTTATAAAGCTTGGTCAATTCTTACTTTACAAGTTGGTTTATAAGAATTGAATGAAGCTGTGAACCAAAATTTTAAGATATTTCTTTGGTGAGTATTGCCATATTTTTTCCTATATATGTTCTTGTCAGGCTTGGTTCATATGTTTTATGGCGGTTTAACTTTCTCCCTTTGTTTTACATGATGGATTGAACTAGGATTTTCTTTTGACTAAGCTATGATTAGGTTATTTAAAATCCTGGACTCGATTTTTTTTTATGAAATCAATCTGATTTTGTCTTTTTGAAACTAAATATTTTGTGCTGCTGATATTTCAAGTTGTAACTGTATAACACTATTTCATTTTTGTCATTTTTAAACTAATACAGTTGCTAAATCAATTTCACAAATCTCCATGTTCATTAGATATCTATACTATATATAAAGGGAATATGATGTTTTAATGTACACATTTTGTATCTCTTATTTTACTCCTATAACTGCCTATTATTTCTTCCCACAATCTTATTTTTTATTTAGTCTTTGTTCACTCCCTTGCTCCACTTTTCCAATAATAACCCCCACCTGCGATTTGTTATTTAACCTTCATTATTGCTCTTTTTATTTTTCATTTATTTTTTAAAAAACACAAGGGGCAAGGAGTGCCACTTTTTCCCTAGTTTATAACAAATTAATTTGCTTTTATAGATTGGTTCATGCTACATGTGTGCCTTGCGCAGGTTATGCAAGGGCTTGAAGCAGCGACCAGTGTTGTGGAAGATATGGATGAATGGTTAAGCATATTCAATGTAAAACTCCGGCACATGAGGGAGGATATTGCATCAGTAAGGACATGTACCCTTCACTTAAAAAGTATAAATTTCCTAGATACAATTTACTCTGTTTCTAATGGCAGTGTTTACTGGAAACATGAATCATTTGTTTAGTTCTCCTTGTTGCTTTGCTAAGGCAAGGGGATTTATGTATCAGTCCAATCCTCATAAGAGAAAGACTTCATCTCATTAATTTCTAGCATCTATTATTTTTGGCTTAAAGTCTGTTAATTAACTAAGGGTATTTTAGGGAAAAAACTTAATGCAAGTGACAGTTTAAAAAGGGGACAAGCAATTTTCTGAAAAGGGTCTTTGCATATAAGGAAGGATGAAGGTAGTTAATGGTAAACCAAGATATGAAAGTAAAAACATCTGTATCCTGATATATGTTTAGCCTGGAAACAGCTATCCAGATATTTTTACACTACCCAATTTCTAGTTTAATTATAAGCTTCAGTGAGTCTAGTGTGCGTAAATTATGGTCACAATTATTTCTTCAAAATGACCATTTTTGTAGTGCTATGAAATTTGCTTTATGATATTTTAGTATTGTTTGCTTTTCTAGGTTATCTAGGTGATATAATTTCTGATGTTGGAGTTCTTGAGAAGCACTGTCTCTTAATATACTTTTTTCCTTATAACTTTTCTTGTGTCCAGATAGAAACCCGCAATAACAATCTGGAAATGCAATCAGTTAATAACAAATCTCTCATTGAAGAGCTTGATAAGCTTCTTGAGCGGTTGCGTGTCCCTTCTGAGGTATACCCTGTTTCCTAATGTAAGCCAAATGAACTTCCTAGCTTGTATTTATTTTAATGAGTTTTTGTTGGGTGTAGTATGCTGCAAGTTTGACAGGAGGTTCATTTGATGAAGCTCGAATGCTTCAAAATGTTGAGGCATGTGAATGGTTGACTAGTGCCTTGCGTGGCCTTGAAGCACCTAATCTAGACCCTAGTTATGCAAACATGAGAGCTGTATGTTCGCTTCTTACTTCTCTCTTAAAATTCATTTGGTAAAATAAGTCAATTATGACTTAGGCATTTAGGAAACAAAAATTATCCATGAGACTGTGCTTGTTTGTTAGAAAAGTATTAATGGAAATCTTTTCAAGGTGACTGATGATTTTTCATCCATTATTTCTATCATTTTTCTTTGTCTGGGAATATTGTAAGAGTGCTACGAATTTGGCATCACAAAGAATAGTGAAAATAGTCTGGCTTTGGTTGATATGGCAAATATGTGTTGGGCCTAAAAACCATCTGTTCTGATTCCTGCAACCCCTTACAGGTTAAAGAAAAGCGTGCAGAACTTGAAAAATTAAAATCTACTTTTGTCAGGAGAGCATCTGAATTCTTGAGAAATTATTTTGCTAGCTTGGTGGACTTCATGATAAGTGATAAAAGCTACTTTTCCCAGGTATTTTCTACATATTTGTTATAGAATTGTTATCCCTGGAGTCTTTTGATTGAATTTATTGGTATCATTTTTTTCTGCTTGCTCTAAACAGCGAGGACAGTTAAAGAGGCCTGATCATGCTGACCTGCGGTACAAGTGCAGGACATATGCACGTCTTCTGCAACATTTGAAGGTTAAAAATTTGGGACCAAGAACCTATTTACCTTGACAAAATGCTTTCTGTTTTCATTTTGTTCCCTATTTTCAAAGCTTTTGTAGAACTTTGGTTTGCCTTTTTCTTGTATAAATATCTGAAAATAGAAAACAAATAAATAAATCATGTCATTTTTTGTACAAAAAAGTTACAGCAGAAAATGAAATTAGAAAACTTATTCTCAAATTAAATAATCCTTACTATTATTTTGCGTGAATTTTGTTTTGGATACATATATATGTCCAGTAATTTTCTTTTTCTACCTAAATAATATTTCTGGACACTTGCAGAGTCTTGACAAGAATTGCTTGGGTCCGCTGAGAAAAGCTTATTGCAGTTCTCTAAACTTGCTTCTTCGTAGGGAGGTTTGTTGCACATCATGTTTTTTTTATATTTTCTTATTATGATCATGCATTCCTTTATTTTTGTAATTAAGCAAGGAGCATTATTACAAATGTGAAAAAAAATAATTAATATGATTTCTTAGCTAATCAGTACATACAAAATAAATAAAAAATCAATCATTGGCAGGAGGATTATAAAGTTCCAGGGAGAATAGATCTCCCAATTTTAAATTTTTTTCCTCTGTGACTATCTTGTGAGTGATATAACATTAAAGTGTAACTTGTTCCAAATTAAGCTGTTGAGTTTGTGTTATTTGGCATGTTTTATGTTGTAGAACATTTATTTTTAAGATTTGTCGTACCAGGCATAAGTTTAGTTGGGCTCCTTTTGGTTTTGAACGAAATGGGAGAAAAATTATTAGTTATGTAGCTGTGTTTCACGTAGTGCTTAGCTTTATCCTAAAGCCTCCGTTTGACCCTCAGATTCAGCATTTCGGCCTGCTAAAACTCGGGCCTTATCATGTTAAACTTCAGGATTTTGTTATGTTCGTGTTAGTATTGGAAGGAGCTAGGTTACCTGGATTGTTTTCTCCATGATTGACATAACTAGGAGTGAGAAAAAGGAACTTCTTACACTTTTTTATGTTCCTGCCGGAAATAATCTTCCACTGCATTAAAAAAAAATCATGTAATATTTTTTATAGATTATATCATGTAAATTGTCCATATTATATCTCAGAAAATTTTAGAGTATGTTAGATTGTCTCTCACTTGCCTTTAATATTTCTTTATTATTTGCAGAATTTGTAGAGAGATTTGAAAAATAAATAACGATTTATTTCCTTCTTTAATCTAATATTAGTATAAAATGAAGGTGGGTGCTTTATGTTATTTTCATCATGTTGCAAGACTTTGTGACATATCGAGTAAATATCAATCTCAATATACTCATTCGCCCTTATCTCCTTTTTCTTGCTGTATACCTATAATCTCAACAACTATCTTTTGAAAAAGGTGTCAACAGCAAATAACTTTATTGCATCTATCATTGCTTAACTAGATCAAGAGGGGATGTACTTTTCAACCTGGATTAATTTTATTAATACTTGAATAGCAGATCCTCCACCACTAGTGATGCATCATTAGTGTTTTGATCTTCCTTAACTGGAGTTCGTTGAATTGTGATTGCGATTTGGTATTTGACCTAAAGATGTCTTCTAGTTAATATTAGAATTCTGAGGTTTATGGGATTCTGGTTAAAGTGCGTTGTAGGTCTCATTTTTTATCAAAATCAGTTTTTGTCCCTCTACTTTAAAATGATGATTTTGGTCCCCATTTTTTATGATTGATGAATCTTTTGCCATTTTATGGAACTTTACTAGAATAATGACCCTAGGAGTTTGACATCTTACTTTAGGGAATTAAAATATAAATTAAATACTATTCTAGTTTATTTTAAAAAAATTTCCATCATCTTTCCTTATCATTCACCTATTATCAAAGTTACAGACTCCAAAATCACCTTATTTAAGGTGTAGGGACTAAAACCAATTTTGTCCGAAAATTGAGGCCTAAAACACATTTAACCTCTATTGTACTTTATGCCATGGTAGGCCTAGTATGTGGAGTCTAAGGCTTCATACATTCTTTGACAGGCCCGTGAGTTTGCAAATGAGCTTCGTGCTAGTACTAAAGCATCTAGAAATCCAACTGTTTGGCTCGAAGGTTCTTCAGGTTCTGGTCAAAATGTAAATGCTACAGACACTTCCACAGTTTCTGATGCTTATGCGAAGATGCTTACAATTTTTATTCCACTTCTGGTGGATGAGGTGATCTTTTTATATTCTTTCATTTTCAGCGCAGATTTGTCTTTAATATTTGAAATGTGTAATTCTTCATGGCATAAATTGCAGAGTTCTTTTTTTGCACACTTCATGTGCTTTGAAGTCCCTACACTCGTTCCTCCTGGAGGTGTTGTTAATGGAAACAAAACTGGATATGATGATGATGATGATGATTTGGGAATTATGGACATTGATGAGAATGACAGCAAATCTGGTACTCATACCTGACTCACCAAGAATAGTGTCATGTTTAATATTTTTAATCTATTAGTTGAGTATAGACGTTTTACACTTGTAGTTTTTTAAAATGTGTTTGTCACTAAATTTTATAAAATATTTAATAGTTTGCAACTTATAATTACATTAAAATTGTGGATGTTTTTTAGAACAAAAAAATTAGAAAAAACTGTGATATTTAAAACTTATTGAGTTTATGCAATACCTGTATGAACTTTGTTAATACAAATGTTAAAATAATATTTAGTTATTTATGTGTATGTAATATAAAACTGATTGTCTATTCTTGTGATTGTATATATTATAATGTATTTTTTATGTTTTTATTATGAATTATTTTTAACTATATTTATTGTAGAAGCAATAATAACATGAAAATACATGTAGTATAATAAATTAAATTGATATGAAGTTAAAAGGTGAAAATTTGATATTGATAAGCATACCATATACACATCAAAATAAGAAGAATTCATTTAATTTCCATTGAATACTATTGTGAATCACATTATTTTAAGAGATAAAATCAAAAAATTGACGATAGAATCTTTATTCTTATATTAAAAATATATTTTTTATTCAGAAACACAATATACAATTCATTATTTATAAATACATACAGTAATTAATGTTATAAAAAGAACAAATATATTTATTTATCTATTTACAAAAATAGCAGATAAAGAGCATGAAAATTACATTATTTTTTCACAAAAAGTCATTTTATCATTTTTGTTTTACTATTTTAAAATATGTTTTATGAACAATAATAATTAAAGATATATTTCACTAGTTTTGTATTTTAATATTTAATTAGTGGATTAATAATTATTTGTTTTGTAATTTTTTTTTGGCAAATAGATTTTAGAATTTTCATGAATTTTAAAAATATATGTTTTATCAAATTTTATAAAAGTCAGAATAGGTTAGCTTTTTTAGTTTACTTACTAAACATAATAATTCACTTTTTGCATACTAGTTGCATATTAAAAATTCGGGAAAATGGTAATTTGAGAATTAATATAGTGACATATATAAACTTATTTAAGGACAAAGTGTCCACAATAACCATTGCATACTTTATAACAGGGGTAATCAACCAATTGTTTATTTAAATACATCTTGTCTTGTAAATGCAACATAGTAATATAGTATTTATTGTTACTACTTAATATCAGAATATTAAAATAATTAATAAATAGCTTATTACTCTCAATATTAAAATTAAGAAAATTAATTTTAAATATTAAAATATATAATAAATAAGATTAATAAGATTAAAGTGAACTACTGAATTATTCTTTAGATACAATTCTTACTAAAATTATATATGATCAACAACTATTATAAATTAAAAGTTTCAAATCAACTGATAATATTTTTTAAAGTCTCCTTTACTGTGTGTATGTGTGTGTCTCTTTATGTATGTATGTAATTAGAAGGTACAGATAGATAGTTCAGTTTAGTTTCCCTTTGTATCTTTTTTCAAGAATTTGACCATATCTTTCATTTTGTAGGTAAAACTTCTGCTGAGCTTGAAGCTTTGAATAAATCACTTAAGGATTTACTTGATGGAATACAAGTATGCACAGCAATTCTCTTTATCTCCGAATTAACTTTTTGTGCTTCTGATATTTGTGATGAAGAGATCTGGATCTAGCATAGTGACAGGAGAGACAATAAGATTTAGGTTTGTTTAGCCTTTTGGGTCATAAAAAAGAAATTTGTTTAAGGAAAAAACAAATTGTATAAAAGTAGAGGTCGTAGTGCTGTTAAAAGAATTCAACTGCTGAATTGAATTGCATACAAAATATTGAATTGTTTAAAAAAACTAAGCTAAATTATTTCTTTATAAAACTGTGTGAACAAAGTTGAACTCTAGCTTGTAAGATTTAAAAATAAGTTTTAAAATGAGTCTTAATTCAAGAAAGCAAATCTAGGGTAAATTGAAGATAAATTATTGAAGCCTAATGTGTCTTAATTCTCAACCTTTCCCTTGGTAACGGTATTTCTGCTTAAGGTGTATAGAAGGCAATAGTTTTATAGAAGATGTCTGCAATAAGCAGAAGAGGTAGACAAAGGAGTGGTTCATAACAGGAGCTAGGTGCTAGAATCCACCCACTCTTGTATACAAGAAAATATTTAATATGAAGCATAAGCCTTTAGAAGGCCAACATTATTGGATTTATGAGATGAATATAATCTATTTTCAGTTCACAGACTAAGACTGAATATACTGTTTGTAATAATTGGTCAGGTTTTATTGAGTTGTTGGCAGTGGTTTAATATATTTAAAAATTCAGTGAATACAGCTATAAAACTACTCTTTTATATGATTTCAGTGGTTTAATATATTTAAAAATTCAGTGAATACAGCTACAAAACTATTCTTTTATATGATTTCAGGAAGACTTTTATGCTGTTGTGGATTGGGCATACAAGATTGATCCTCTACGCTGTATATCAATGCATGGAATAACAGAGCGTTATCTATCTGGTCAGAAAGCTGATGCAGCAGGATTTGTACGTGATTTACTTCGTGACCTGGAGTCTCGGATATCTATGCAGTTCAACCGTGTAGGTGACTAGCACCATGAGGAAGATTATTTTGTCATTGCATTTGTAAATTGAAATGCTTACCTGATTTATTTAATTGGAAATGCTTTTGCAGTTTGTTGATGAAGCTTGCCATCAAATTGAAAGAAATGAAAAGAATATTCGCCAAATGGGTGTCCTCTCATATATTCCCAGGTGAAATGAATTTTTTTAATTGTCCCCTCCTCCAAAATAATAAGTTTTTTGTAATGATTGTAGTACAACACTTGTCTGCTACCCTTTCAGCCAGTTATGCAAAGTTTGGAACATAGAAAGAGAGAAGTAGAATAGTATCTCTAATGGCATGAAAGGATCTTAACATGGTATTTTTGTCTCTATTAAAAATGTTACAGTAAAATTGTTCTATTCTGATACCTACCTTTTGCAAACTGCACTGGGTTAGTTCATTTTGGGTTCCTGAAATTACATGATTTTTCAATTTTTTCTTGGAAAATTTACTTTTCCGGTTGAGCTTACACACACACATTTGTGGTACAAGTTGGGTACGAATTTTAATTGTTTAAACTGTATTAAAATTGGTGTAAGATCAATGTGCTAATTAGGTACAGTTCTATACTCAGATTGGTTAAAATCATTTCAATGGATAATGATATTTATGAGATAATGGTTCTGTTTTGGAAGCAATTAGAAGTTAGTGTTGCAATTTTTCAGTCTAGTATGTATTTATTTCAACTGTCAAGTCTCTCTTTGGGATTGATGCTAAATACTTCGTCAACTGTTTTGCATAGATTTGCAACCCTTGCAACTCGGATGGAGCAGTACATCCAGGGTCAGTCTAGGGATTTGGTTGACCAAGCATATACAAAATTTGTAAGTGATTTGATAAAAACTGTATCCAGTTTTATGATATCTTTTTATTTTTCTGACAATTCAAGCACATACTTTTTAAGAGTAATGAGATTAAAATAAGAGGAAGTGGGTAGACATTATAGATTTTAGTTGTCAAGTTCTTGGATCAAATAGAGCATATAAGAAATGAGTATCAGAAATTAGAAATAAGTACAACTAATTAAAATATATTATAGATGAAATTTAGTGGAACCATACTAGCAGTATTGTTCTTTTCTCGAAGATTAGTTGTAGCATCTTCATGCCATCTTGTAGGATGGACGTATTCTATAATGAGTTTTTGCTAGATTTTCTTTATCTTGAATATACTATTTGTCTTTTAGTCAAATGTTTTGATCGTATTCATTATTTATGCTCAGCATATTTATACCCCATGGTCAACAACTAACAGTGTCTTTTTCATTTTCTATAAATGATGTCGAATCCTTGGTGAATTATACTTAAAAATCTTAATGCACTGCATCGATAGTTAATATGAGAAATTTCAGTGGTTTTTTGTTTGTAACTTACATAGGAGGAAATAAGTCCTTAATATTTCTTTTTTTCAATTTACTACGTAACTGTTACCATAACACTGCCGGTGGGAATTTGTTTGACAGGTTAGCATAATGTTTGCTACTTTAGAAAAAATTGCTCAAACAGAACCAAAGTATGCAGATATTTTTCTTTTTGAGAACTATGCTGCCTTTCAGAATAGGTAATTAAAGGCTGTTCCATTTTACTCAATTGATTGTGTAAAGAAAGACATTTTCTATTTTTCAATGATTTTGTTTATTTTACTCAGTTTGTATGACCTCGCCAACATTGTGCCCACTTTGGCCAAATTTTATCATCAGGCCAGTGAAGCCTATGAACAAGCTTGTACACGTCATATTAGCATGATAATATACTATGTGAGTATAATCTATTCTCTATTTCCATTTTTTGTGTCAATACACATGAATTGGTATCATCCGTGGGCCCCACTGATTATCACTTTTTTGCATTGGAAAGCAATTTGAACGCCTTTTCCAGTTTGCTCGAAGGATTGAGGACTTGATGTTCACTGTTCCACCTGAAGAGGTCTGTGTATAATGCTGTATTTTTATCCTTCATAGATTCCAGGGTACTTCCTGCTATACTGTATCTTGTCACGTGTAGAAATTCTATTTATTGAACAAACTGTTTGCAATGTTTCTTTCTCTGGTTGAAATAATGATGTTGTAGATATATAAGGAGGAAGAGAAACAAGAGAGAATGAATCACTGAATTGATACAGAAATATGATAAGCCCTAATGTGAAAGTAAGAAACTAACCTTAAGAATAATTTCTGATATTTTAAGTTGTATGATAGGAACAGTGCCTCTAAAGGGGATAATAAACCATTTCATTCTGCCAAGGCACACGCCCAAATCTAATTAATAATTTGTTTTTGTTTCTTCTGTAAAAGGTAGGAGTAGAAAGGGGAATTTTGGCTGCTAGTTAGTTAGTTGAGTATAATGTGTGCATTTCTGTTATAAGGTATGAGGTATTGATAATTGAGAATTAGAGCCGAGGGTTTCTCTTGCTTGAGAGAGGGGGCGCTGGGCTTGCTCTCATCCATTCCCATTCTTTCTTTTGCCTTATTTCCTGTTGTTTGTCATTTTTTTTTTCTCAGGTACCTTTGGTACAGGTTGTATCAGTTTATGATATGATAACATATTTTCATATATTATAACTGACTTTTACCATCCTTTGTTAGCATCATGGATTACTTTATCAAAATATATCTATTCTGGCACTTATTTTGAATGATAAAATTCCTCTTGCAAGGGAAATTATTTTGATGAATATATAACCTTATATGGTTGCTTTGTCTAAGCATCAAAACTAATCCCAAATTACCCTACGCAGCAAAACCAAGTGATCTGTTGCACTACTATCAGTTATAACCAATTTTCCCACATGTGTTCTAGAATCGACCGTGATCAACTATCCCAAGAGATTCAAACGATATAACAAAATCCTATAGGTTGCTGGGCTGAGTGTATTACTGACTAGGGGTCACTAATGTGGATTTATTGAAACATTTGGTTCAACTAAAGGGGTATAATACGGGGCCTCTTCAAAAAAATGGTAATTTCATCTGATGAATCCCAAAGAGTGATAGAAGAATGAATTAACTTCATGTGATTGAAGTTACTTCATTGACTGAGTACTACCGGCATCTAAGGATGACCACTGACGAATTATATGAGCTTAAAGAATTACGTTTGGCTGATGCATCTCATAACATTGTCTCTTCTTGTCTATGTTTTCCTGGATGCATGGAATGGAACTGTGAATTATTTAGTTACACAAATTTCACATTTGAATTTGACTTTCAACATTAACAGAGTTTCATTCTTTTGCATAAATTTCAGATTCCTTTTCAGCTTGGACTGTCAAAAATGGATCTTCGGAAGATGTTAAAATCCAGTTTATCTGGGGTACGGTGATTCTGGTTTTCTTGAAAGATCCTATACTCATGTCTGCCTTTGAACTTATGTCTTTTCTCCTTTACTTAGGTGGACAAGTCCATAGCTACGATGTATAAGAAACTGCAAAAGAACTTGACTTCAGAGGAACTATTACCCTCTTTATGGGACAAATGCAAGGTAAGATGTCCTTAATCAAGGCTTTTCCACTAAAATATTTGCCAAAAGTCAGTGAAGTGTCTAACAAGTGTTTCGCTAGTTTGGTTGATAGCAAGTGCAATTTTGCCAAGTTTAAGCTACATTTGAATGACAACTAAATTGGATTTAATTTTGTTGTTGTGTGAACATTTATTCCAACTTCACGCAATCAAGTATTTTTCCAATGCAGATTTCTGATTGTAAAAATAAGCTGCAAATTAATCGTATTTTTTAAATTTTTGCAGAAGGAGTTTCTTGATAAGTATGAAAGTTTTGCCCAACTTGTGGCTAAGATTTACCCTACGGAGACCATCCCATCTGTTGCAGAGATGAGAGACCTTTTAGCTTCCATGTAGAGGTTTATGTACGTAAATATTTTTCTTTCTTTTCATTTTATGTAAGGTATGATCTTTCTTCTCTCTATTTAATTTTATTTATTCAATAAATTGTATCTTTGTAGTTTTTATTATTTGAAACAAACAGTTTAACGTGTCTTCGAACGAATGAGATGAACGAGTATCTTGCTTATGTGCAAGCATTTTCAGGATTTACGAGTGGCAATGTTGTATCCGGTTAAAACTGCATAGGCGTTTTGGTTTATTTCGAAGTTGTAATTCCTTTTTTTAGAGCTTTTATCAGAATGTCAGTACTACGAGTTGTATGATAATTTCATATATAAATTTATTTCAATTGGTTTCAGGTTATTCACATCCTCCTTGCATTTTGACCTTCACAATTTCGTTTTTTTTTCAATTTATGATCTTTCTTGAAATTGAAGATACATTATCATAAATTTTATACGTGTGATAGTAGTTCAATCGGCAATAAATAAATAACATTTTTAAAACATTAATATAATATAACGAGAGATATTAAAACTGTATAAAAGGATATTCGAGAGAGTTGTCAATTTAAAGACTTGAATAAATCACTCAAAAGTTCGTTAACTCATTCTATAACAATCCACTTCCAGACAACTCATTTAACCAACGGATTAGCATGTCATTAATATTTTATTTGTGTTGTTTAGTTTAAATCAAATTCCAAAAAAAATTATTTTTACAAAAAAATGAGTTGGATTGAATTGACTTGGTTTTAACTCAAATTATGATAAATCAACTAATTGGAGTTTAATTGACACAAATATTTTTTTTCTTTCTTTTTTTCCATTTTTTTTTCTTAAGAAATATTAAGTACTTCAGAGTAACTTACTTAAGACTTTAATTAAATTACATATCATAGTTTATTTAATTTTCTTTCATTATTATCTTTATATCTTATTATCTTTTCTTGCTTTACTTATTATTACTTATTTCAACTTTTACAGAGATAATTAATTATTTCATTAATTTTAGTACTAGTTGAGGTACTTCTAAATTTTTCATGCTATTCAAATTAAAGAATATTATTTAACATTATACATAGAATAAACTAATGTTTTATTACATGATGTTATCAATAGTTGTATATTGAGAAATAAAAAATATAAATTTTTAAAAGAAATTAAAATTAAAAAATTACTTGCCAAAAAAAAATTATAATGTTTTAAAAAATAAATAAAAGTATTAAAATTTAATAAAAGAATAATTATTTACAAAATCTAAAGTTATAATCACAAAATAATATATATTTTTTGTCCAGCTATACATTTGAACTATCACAACTAAATATTTGTTCCACCGAAACGTTCTTATCCTCTCCTCACACCAACCATGTGATCATTGCAAAAGAGATTAAGCATACAAACAAGAAACACACAAAAGGGTTGAATGTGAAAAGAATCAAACACAAAATATCAAGGTTAATAACACTTTTCATACAAAGATAAACAATCATCTTAAGCATACCATCAACCTAGACTTAACCATTCAGATATAGTATGAATATCGAGCAATGTCAGGTCATGCACTTATGATGGCCTCTATTGCTCTACATATCCATTGGTAATGAGTTTCACTCTATCACACACAAGGTTAGTCTCTTTTGCGTCTTAGGCCATAATGGAACACCTAGACTAGGACCTCCTACTACTCTTACCACATGCATCACTCCTCTCTAATTGAGAATAAATGACCATTAGAGTGTTAGGATAACCCCCAAGACTAAGCTTCCTACACTCATACAAACAACACTTGATACAACCACTTAGAATTTCTCCTTAGAAACTCTTATTCTATCATACTTTGAAACATACATCAACCTCATTCAAAACCATTAATAACACTCCATAAAACATACTAAACATCTCATAAGGTACCAATCAATCCTTAAGAGAAACCACAAAAGCCAAAGAAGGAAATAACAAAGAGTGCAAGCAAAAGACATTGGCGTTGAGCAGCGTATCCTCGCCGCTGAGCACCATTCCTTGCGCAAACTTGACGCCTAAGCGCATCCCCTTACAGCTGAGTGTCAAACCTCTCGATTTTCTAGCACTCAAGCTTTGTTGACTGTCGTTGAGTGTCACACCAGAATAGTAAAGACCTTTAAACTAACCTTGGTTGACCTCATACTTATCCAAATGATCAAAATGACATCTTAGACATTGGAAATTATTTAAAAAACAAGTTTATCACTTAAATTGGATACCAATTTGATGATTTGGTCAAGAATCAAGGTTCAACCAATCAACCTTCAACTAAAAGTCATATATTTCATTTCTTTTGCTTTAAACTATGTTCTTAAGACTCTAAGTAGCCAACTAAATCCTAAATGGCCTCTTCATAACCACCAAACATTACATTTGCTCGTTAGACCAGAAACTAGGTTCACTAAACCAATTTAACTACTCACAAGGGTCTAAACTCAATTTCTCTCTTTATAACACAGAACTTGGCAACTTAGGGGTCTAACAAGTTAGAAATGACCTAATAACTGACACCAAACCCTCCACTTAAACGCAAACCTTCCATTTTAAAATCTTACTAGTTAAAACCCTTAAATTGAATTAAAAACTATACACAACGCACCCTACTAACTACCAACTAGTTCTACATAAGATTTCTACTAACTCAAAGCTCAAACAAGTTTTAAATGAACATACAACAGATCCAAAAACTCAGTCCCTCCCATTAGACCCTTACTTCAAAATTTTACTTATCAAAACCTTTTCTTAAGGTTCAAAATCAACTATAAAGAGCAAGTTATTCTTCCACTTTTTCTATAGATGATAATAACTATATATATTAAAGGTTAAAAGCATTCAAATATACATTAAAAAACAAATAATAATTTTTATTTTATTTTTTTAATATTATACATGAGTAAGGATGATAATGGATAATATGAATAGTGTTTATATACTATTTGATTCTTAACACAAATAACTTATCGAATATCCATTTAAAAAATATTTTAGATTTTTAAAATCCACATGTATTATGAATATCTATGAATATTTAAAAATAAATTATAGACTTTTTAAAATAAAATTACAAAAAGAATATAAAATATAATATAAATTAAATTCCAACTTAAATTAAAGTTAATTAAATATAAATTTTAACTTTAACTTTAATTAACTTTAACCTAATAAAATATAAATTAAATCTTAGTTTTTAATTAAATTTAACCTAATAAAACATGAATTTAATTTTTATTTAAATTTTTTAAGACAGTGGATACCACCTGTATATAGATATATCTATTTATAAGTAGATATTTAATTATTTATTATCTATTATCGACCTATACTCTTTTAAAATATCTATTTACTATCTATTAAAAAATTTATTCAAGATACTCATACATGCAAATGAAAAATTTTGGCATGTGCGCGAGCATCATACATTGTATTAAAATTTGACTGGTTTCTTTACTTAGAGAAAACAAAGAACTTTACTTAGAGAAAACAAAAAACTTTAGGAATAGAAAATTTTTAAAACATCTATGAAAAACGATAAATGAACTAAAGAAATGAGATTTATTTATTCATTTATGAAAAAAAAGACATTGATAATGAGTTGTGAGAAGATGTATTTATTTTAATTTAGTAGGTTGTATCTGTTTGAAAAATGCCGGAAGTGGTGTTGCCATCAGTTTATAAAACGGCATTTGAGAAAGCGAAAAGATGCATTAGTGGGAAGCAATTATAGCAAAAAGAATAAGCACGTTTGTTTGATGCCAAAAAGAAACAATCTTAGTGAATGTTGAAATGGTGAAGCACCAACATCAAACTTATCAAACTTGTCTACACTTTTTGTGGTCGGAACACTCTCTCCTCAATTTTCATGCCCCAAATAATTCATCCAACTTTCTCACATTTTCTCTTTTCTTTTTCTCACTATCAATTCATTTTTCATTAAATTATAATTTCGAAGTCCAAATTTATCGTTAAATATGGCCGGTGCCTACTCCAAAATCCAAACTTTCTTCACATTTCCATACTGACACTAAAAATGATATTTTGATACTTATATATCCATTACATTCATTTAATATATTCTTTTTACATTTTTTATTTTTAAAATAATATAAAATATCATTTTACTTTTATTATATATTAAATAAATATAAATATATGTTATATAAATACGGTGAACACATATCCAACCTTATAAATAGTAAGATATTGTCAACTTTAAGTTAAATTATTACGGATTTTCTTTTAATATTATTTTAAAAGATTTTTTATCAATGAAAGTATTCCAATAAAAGTATCTTATCTGTATATAAACTTTACTATATGGTGTATCCGTTGGTATACAGATAGACGAACTGTTAACCGATGAGGCATGACTCATCGGTGCAAACAACCGTTGAAGGTAGTTAAAGGCTAATTAGTAGCATAACGATCATTAATGGATAGTTAACAAGTACATTAACAGTCAATAATGATCAAACCCCATCGGTTTGGAGAATACTCGTGAAGAAGTGTGAACGATCATGATGCCAAACTAGTCAGGACAGGATAATCATCCCTGAACCCTGTGTTACCGAAACATAAACTGATGTACATATCTTGTTTTATTTGTTTTATTTCACGTGGAAATTTATTTGAAGGTAGATATTTTTGTGGGACTGAGACACGTGACTTTACCGCTCATGGATGATTTTGTTGCTCGCTCTCCGAACGCTCGCTCTTCTGCAAAGTAAACCGAAAGCTCGCTCTCCCGCAATATAGACCGCACGTTCGTCTTTCTTGTGTCTGAATGCTTGGATCGCCTTCCTTTCTTCAACCTGGACCGCTCGGTCACTTTCAATCTCCTGCTGCTGATCGATCGGTCTCCTTTCGATCGGTCTCCTTCTTGATGAGGGGGGTGTACCTGAAAAAGGCACTCCGACGCTCAAGTTAGGCATGTTGTTGAAGAGCTTTAGCTCTTAGTCAAATAGTCAGTGAATGGTTAGCACTCTTTGACTATTTGAGAGTAGTGGAGAGTGAATAATGCGTAAGTGGTTAGCACTCTTTGACTATTTGAGAGTAGTGGAGAGTGAATAATGCGTAAGTGGAAC